TCTCACATGACCCACCCTCCTGCACAATCAATAAGTGCCAGCTACACAGGCTTTCACTCTCTTCTTTGAACATGCTGAACCCTCTAATGATTCAGGGCTTTTGCACATGCAGGTCCCTTTTGTGGAACACCCCCCCTCCCCCACCACACACACATACACACACACTCTTTGCTTGGCAGCAGAATATAGTAGTCCTTATGGGCTGAATTGTGTCACCCCCCTCAATCTGTATGTTGAAGTCCTGACCTCCAGAAACTTGGAATGTGACTACTATTTAGAGGCAGAGTCCTCAGAGAGGTAGTTATGGTAAAATGAAGTCATTAGGGTGGACCCTAATCCAACATGACAGGTGGCTTTATAAAAGATGAGATTAGGACATAGACACACATAGTGGGAAGAGTAAGTGAAGCTACAGAGAGAAGATGGCCATCGACAAGTCAAGGAGAGGGGCCTTGTAGCAAAATCAACCCTGCTGACACCTTGATCTCAGACATTTAGCTTCCAGAATTGAAAGAATATAAATTTTTGTTGTCTTTCTCCACCCAGTCTGTGGTACTTTGTTACAGCTGCCTAGCAAATTAGTACAGTAGTTGAGCAGGTGGACGCTGGAGCAGGCTTCCTAGGTGTAAATTCTGCCTCCGCCAATTACTAGCTGTACAATTTTGGGCAAATTATTTAACCGTTTCATGCCTTGGCTTCCTTTTCTGTAAAATGGGAATGATAACAAGAGTACTAATAGAGAGACAACCATCCAGTTTGCCCCAGACTGCGGTGTTTACCAGGATGCAGGACTTCCAGTGCTAAAACCTGAACAGTCACCCTACACTGAGTCTGGCTGTTACGAGACTGAATTAATACTCACAGCATATTAGAAGAATGCCTAGCACATGGTAAACACTCAGCAACAAGTATTGGTACTATTATTATTCATTATATTTCAGATCTCAGCTTAACTGCCATTGTCTCAGAGATATTTTTCCTGACCTCATAATCTAGATTAGGACTCTCTTTCATAGTATCTGATTCTTTTGATAGTGGCTCCCTCATATCTATTCCCCTCGGTTTCAAAAATAATGGGACCCCTGATTTCTAAGTGGGCACATGGCTGCCCAGAACAAAGGCTATTTCCCAGATTCCCTTGAATAAGTTCTGATCAATGGGATATAAGCAGATGTGGTATGTGCACATTCTGGGTTATGGCCTAAAAGCAGGAGGTTCTTACCCACAGAATTCCTGGGGTCTGTGAACTAATGGAAAAAAAATGACATCGGTATTTTCCCTAACTGCTAACTGAGATTTAGCATTTGCTTCAATTATGAAAATAGGCAACAAAGCACAAAAGTAGCAATAATTCTGATGTTGTCACTAAATGAAGTCACAGTCATTTTCATATCACATAAGGTTTGCAGATATCTAATAATTATGCTCATTGCTGTTATGAAGTTTTGAAATTATAAACTCACTGCTAGATCTTATTATTATTATTTAATGAGTAAAGAGGAACATATATTGCTGTATGCCATGGCATTACAATGCATAAGGACTCTTTAAAGAGAAGGGCATCTTGCCCCTTTGTCCTTTCCCTCTTGCTACTGGCCAGCATGTGGAACTAGTAATGGGCTATCTTGGTCATGTAGGTGAGGGCCACACTCCTCAGATGGTGTAACTTGAAGACTGAAAGAGCCCAGGTCTCTGGGACCTTGGAATCTCCATGCAACCCTAGATTGCTTATACCCAGACTGCTACTTGAAAAACAAATAAATGTCTACTTTGCTTACAGCACTGTAATTTTGTATCTTTATTTGAGCAGCTGAGTCTATATCCTAATTAATACAATAGCAGTTATCACACTTTGTAATTACATGTTTATTTGTGATGACTACTTAAATATCTTTACTACTAAAGAAAACGCTCTTTGAGGACATCAAATATGTCTATTTGTTCACTTGAGAATTCTAGCAATTGGTACAGTTTTGACAGAGTAGACTAAAAAATGTTTTATAATTAATGAAATAGTAGCAAAAGAAAATTTTTATCACCATGTTAGGCAAACCAAGTATATATTATACAATATATAAAAACAAGCAATCGCCTATGTATAGAAAAAAGTCGGAAGAAAATACCAAGACGTGAACAGTTACTGTTTGAATTACAGGCTTTGGTATGATTTTTTCCTACATTTGCCTATATTTTCCAGATTTCCTTTAATGAGGTTAAAAAATACATATATATACAATTAAAAAATGTAACCAAACAAAATGAATTGAAGAGAAGTCGGATCCCTGAGGGTCTTGGAGGAGGAAGCAGCATGTAGGGCATTCCTGCCCTAGGAGATTTAATCAGCTGAGATTTAACCAGAGAGGATCTGGTGTGGACCCTCTCAGAACCTTTAATACTCAAGGTGTCAGTAAAAGTCAACAAGCCAGCCTGACTCTTAACATAAGGAATGAAACTCACTTCTTAAAGAGGCCATAGTAAAAATAAAAGGATGTGTAATACTCTGGAACAATAAGGCATAATTCTTTAAAATATAGCAGTCAACCATAGGACAATCTGTACTGAGCAAAGCTTGGAAATAAATGTTATTATATTTCATCCATAATTATTACACAGATAGATCAGTTATAATCACCATGGAGAGAGTCATGTATTTTAAGAGGATATAGTGAGCAAATGCTACAGCTAAAAGGCAAGTTACCAAATCGTACTTCTGTGGTCTTTTATTGTTAATGTTAATTTTTTGGTTAAGCACTGAGCTTCTGCCTTGACTAGAATCCTGATTAAATAAAACTGAATGCATATTTCATATATGTTGGTTTTGATACGAATAAGTTAAGCTGAGGAAATATTTTTATGTGCTCATAATTCTAAAAAATTTAATTTCAAGATTAGCAAACAATAGATGTTCAATAAAAGTTGGTGACAGTGTGTTATATATAGGATAATTTTTATAATTCTTATTTTTCCTCTATTGCTATTAATTGGAATTCTGCCTTAAGGTTTATATATCTATAGGCTCATAACATCTTTAATGTGCATTACTTTGATTTGCATTACTTGGTGATTACCAGAAATGAAGAAATATATTCTTCAATATATATTGATTGGCCTGGAGATGAGGAAACAAAATATGTTCATTAGAAAGATGTGAAACTGGGCACTAGAAATAAAGTGGAAGAGAAGTTAATAATACTTAATGGTAGCTGTTAAAAATAATTTTGAACAAATCTGTATAATCATGACTCTCATACTGACATAAAATAAACACAAGTCAAAATTTCATTTAACTCATTAATTAATGAGGGAACCAGTTAAATGTTTCAACCAATTCAAAGAAATATTGAAACATATATACCAGTCATATATACAGGCAGTCAGGAATGCTTAGGTAAATCTGTTTAATAGATATGAAACTGGCAAAACTGATCAATATCCATAGAACAATAACCAAATGAATCTCCTAAGAACATCATTTACATACTTGTGGACAAGAATCATCTACAGCGTTGTCAATATTCCACAACTCACCCAATTGTAAAATAGCTCAAAGACAATGAAAGGCACAAGGACTCCATAGAATCAGATTACCTCGACAATCAACTATTTAGACACTCAGCAATCTTTTTGGTTCTTTTAAACAGTCTTACTTAATTTTTTTCTCTACACTGCTGACCTGTGTTGAGCGCTATTTATGGCCAAGCACTAACCTAGGTGCCTTAAATGTATAGCTCATATAATTCTCACAAGAACCTTATTAAGTAGGTTCTATTATTATTTCCATTTCTTAGGGGAGGAATCCTCAGAATAAGAAAAGGTAACTCTGTTACCCAAGGGCACAGAGATAGTAGGAGGTGGAGCTAGACTCTGAATCCAAGTGGTTCTGCACCAGATATGAGGCCATGAATGTATGTGAAGGAAAAAGAATTGATAGGACCCAACCAATTAAATTACATTAGATCTAGAAGAGGAAAGAGGTAAGGATGACTTCAAAGGCTTTCCCTGGTTGTGAGGAGGGTGACACTGTCCAGATAAATAAAGATACTAAGAAGAAGAGTTAGTTTGATTTGGATTTTAGACATGTGGACTTTTAAGTAAATGGCAAGATGTCCAGATGGAAAAGTCTAGCTGGGAAGGAGATCAGAATGAAGATGCAGACGAGTGATTTTTTTCCCCCCAGATTTAAATTACGGTACCTAAAACACTTCTGTGTATCTGTCAGAGCTGAAGGAAAGTAAAGGACAAACATTATGCAGGAGGGACTGAGGTCCCTGAGAGGACGGACAGAGGCAGTCTCAGGGAGTAAAACCAAAGCAGGGTGAGGAGGCCAGAGTTCTCAGGTCCTCACAACAAGGTACTCTCTGTTGGTTTAAGGAGAAACATTAAGCTGGAGTCACACGTGCAAATAGCTAATGTGGAGGCTGGAAAGTAGAGACCAGGTCATGGAGGGGCCTTATCCAAAGCAAGTAGATTGTCAAGCACGGAAGGGTCCTGATCAGATACACATTTTAGATAGAACCGGTCTGGCTACTGCATGAACAGTCTGGGCAAATCTGGACGCAGGAGCTGTCACCGGAATCCAGATGTAGGCGGCTGATGGCTTGGACCAGGTCAGGTCGAGGCAACTAGACCCAACTCTAATATTTGAGAGACTGAGAGTAAGAGGAGGCTCACATACCACGTGAATAAATATTTTAAAGTTGTAAATCAAGCTAGTAAGCTATCAAACAAAATAGTATCTATCCTTCTATCTTGATAAATACATGTTCAGAAGGATCTGGAAGGGAGGGGGAGAGCTCCGGCGGGATCGGCCTGACTTAGGCGGGGCTTTTCTGGAACCAACCAGGTACTAGCGGCAGCGGCGGCCCGGAACGAGAGGCCCACAGCGACCCCTGGCTCCTCTCCGAGCCCCCGCGGCTGCCGTTCCCCGGCGGAGGAGGGGCGGGCGGACCGCGCGAGGCGGGCGGGGTCGGAGGGCGCGCGCGTCGGTGTCATGGCCGCCTCCGTCCTCCGCTCGGCCTGCGGCTCGCGGCTGCTCGGCATCCCCGGCCTTGGCCGCCGCCGGCCGCCCCGGGGCCTGTGGGCGCGCGCGCGGTGGCTCCCGGGGCCCGCGCGGTCCGGGCGGAGCGTGGCCGCGGCTAGCGGGCGAGATGCCTCGGGCACCGACCGCTACTGCCTGGAGCTGCTGCGGTGAGCAAGCCCGGCCTGCCTGGGCGGGAAGCCGGAGAGCGGCCCGAAGGGGCCGGGGGAGCGCGGCGGGACTCGGGGCCGGCAGGGCGGACGCACCGGCGCCTTCCTCGCGTACCGCGGCGCGTGCGGCCGGGAGGGAGGGGACCGAAGCAGCAGGAACCTTCACAGCGGTCACAGAACTGCAGCAAAGTTCTTCCGTCTGTCACCTTGCCTGACCTTGCATTTTTACCTAATTAGACGTTTTGCATGCGTAAATTTTTTAAAATTTAAAGGCGGCCAATAATTAATTTAAATTAAAACAGTAACTCACTTGGAGTTCTAACTTTATGTGAGACCGTGTATAAAGTAATTTACCAGAAATTTACTTGCTCTGCATTACTGGTTGTGAAGGACAAATGCAGACCATAGAGTTACGAAGACTAAAGCATTTTGAAGTGCCTGGCACAAAGCAAGAGCACAGTAAATACAATATAAGCCATTTTAATTCACTTAATAGAGGAGGAAATGGAGGTTTAGAGAGATTAGGGAATTTACCTGAGGTTCATAGAATAGCCCCATTCAGTCAGGGTAACTACTGGAAAGGGCCGACACTTAGGAGTTGCGGTCATTCATTCGTGGAGTTTGGTGGATCGGGTCACCCAGCACATCTGGGCAGGGCCCTGCCTTGGAATCCTGGCTTGACTTGAGAGACCGATGGCTCCCCACCCCATACCCCACCTCACCCTGCACTGTCCCCGTGGCCCTCCGCCTTTGATTCCTAACAGTAGCAAAAAGGCTCAAAGTACCTGGTCTCAAGGACTTATGAGAAGTGCTAGAATCATTAAACTACCTTGGATTTGATTGGGTTAGTAAATACAATTTTTTTGAATTCCATTTCAGCAAAATATAGCAAAATAAAACAAAATTCTCATGCATTTCAGTGTTTTGTATTGTTTTTAATCACTTTTTAAAATAACGTTCTTCCCCACCTTATTTGTTGCATCCGTGGAAATCAGGGCATTAAGAATTATAAAAGCCAAAACTGCTAAAATGTTACTCATTTTTATATATTTTAGTTAACATTTTTCATTATAAAAAATTCAAATTACCGAAGTGTATACCACCCACAGCCACTTGTCCAGTGCAGTTTTTCTTTGACACCAGTGATGTCATCACTTTCCTACCCAGAAGTGAATAATCACTCTTACTGATCTCATATATTCTTCCACTAATAGTCTGTGGCTGTCACATCACAGCCTTTCTCAAATACATATTTACAAATGGTTAGCTAATCTGTCCATGTTGGCAATTTGAGTGGAATGGAGGCCATTGACTCTAGCGATTTTTTATTTAAAAACCTGGATTTTGCAGGTAGACTTGGAGTTTATTAATCCTAGTTTTGTTAACTTGCAAAAGTTACTAACGTTAATATTCAGCTATATACCTCATTTGTAACTTTCTACTCCTTTACAGCTTGCCTATGAAGCTTAAACGTAATGGTGTATAGAAAAATGCTGGCACGTAACAAATGCTCAATAAGTAGTTGTAAAATAAAAGCGAAACTTGAAAGATTAGAACTTCTAGCGTTTAACTGTCCATTAATCTTTGCAAGATTTGGCTTCTGAAACTATTTCTTCAGGGTTGTTTTGAACATGTACCTTTTGCAAGCCTCCAAATATCAGAAAAGATATCAGGCCATTACTTGAGCTTAGCTAGTCAGGGCTCTCTTAGAAGTCTAAGGTTCTGGGAAAATCTGAAACTTAATTTACATAGGCTTCTTGGGGTTTGGTTTTTTAGTGTTTTAATCAAGAGGTGCTACTAGTGATGTCTGGGAGTGCACTTGTTCTCCAGCCTCACTGGTGAACTGTTGGGGATGAACTAGGTTTGGAGATGCAGGGAAATCAGAACAAGAACAAAGTCAACATAGCAAAATTTTATTATATTCTGTGACAGACAGAGTGGGCCTAACGTTAGACAGACAAGCTGGTTACTGTGAGTTTTTTTAGTGGGGTTTTTGGCAGGGTAGAGAACTTCTTGATTGATGGTCTTTGGCCTTGAGGTCTTGATCTGATTGGAGGATTGAAGACATGGGCTGCGCTCTGACATTTTTCATCTGGGGAGTGCTAGTACTCTTGAGGCTTTTTCTGTGGGGAGTGTTTGTGCCCTTCAAGTCACTCCTGGTCCCCTTTGGCTTCATTGAATGAACTCTGAGTTATCTCTGGCTCTCTGGCTTTATCTGATTAACTCCGGTTCTTGGTGGGACCCACCCTGTTTTCATCCCACTCATGTCTGTCTTTCTGCCTAACAGAACCACTTCCTTTGTGCCTCGATGGCAGAGGTCTGTGGAACTAGCACAGCAGTCTTAACGGCAGATATGCTTATTTCTCATATGCCAGTCTAGTCATGTTAGGCTGAAATCTGTGCCTATATTCAGTGTCCAGCATGATGTCTGGCATATATAGTAGGTACTGAATGAATGTTCAAATGAATGAATGAATAAATGAAATGTTATTGGTCTTGCTGCTGTATAAAGCCATCATAGTGTGGCGTTTCTCACTATTTGGAACAGTTCTCAGGTAACTTGTACCTTGGTTAGCAACATAGGATATCCTTGTATACCATATTGATACTTATAACAATAATCCTGAGTGATGAAATGGTTGAATAATTGGTATGTCTTACTTGATGTAAAGAAATGGGTAATATTGTTAAGAAAGATTTCCAACCAAAATTTAAAAATTAATTTATTATTTTAATTATTTTTCCTTAACAGGGAAAAACCCGTAGCTATGTAGAAAATCTTATCTTCCAAAGGTTGCTGCTATTCTGCTATATATTTATTCATTTCATTTTTCATTTCCATGTAAGAAACTTGAAATACTTCACATATTGGTTATTTTTAGGAGATGTGAAACAGTTACATTATCAAGCCTCATTTTGCAAATTAGGAAATAGATGTGGCTGTTATCAATTCTGTCAATAACTAGTTGAATGATAGTAATTAAGATTGTAGTTTTGATTCCTATTTAGTGTTTTCTCACTGTTTAATATTAACTTCCAAGTGTGTTAAATACCTTTGAAGTTCGGAGACTTTTAATAGTAAAATAAAAATATAAAATATATGTATTTAAAGGTATAAAATACAGCTCTTTCTTTCTGAACTGATAATAATGCTCTTGAAAACATGATTAGCCTTCCTAAAAGCTACCAGACTTTCTGTAGGAAGTATAGTAAGCACCAGCCCCACAAAGTGACACAGTACAGAAAGGGCAAGATTCTCTTCAAAAGTGTTACAACAGGAGACAGAGTGACTGTGGCGGGCAGACGAAGCTGATTTTCCAGAAACAGCCTAAAACTACGACGACGATTGTGCTGAGGCATGAATGTGTTGAGCCCAACTGCAGATCTCAGAAGAATGCTGGCTGCTTAGAGATGCAAGCATTTTGACTGGGAGGAAATAAGAGAAAGGGCGAGTAGTCCAGTTCTGAGCTTCATATTTTGTTTTATTATGAGGACAATAAAATCTTGAGGTTATGTCACTTCAAAAAAAAAGCTTAAGACATAGAGAGCTGTTTTCACCTCTACTGTTTGATTGTAGCTGAAACAGTTTATGGTAAGATTTTTTAGGAGAGCTGTCCTGTGATAGGATTGCTATTGATGATCTCCTTTCCCACATATTGTTCAAGTGGAAGTTGGGGAGTGAAGGGCATGGCTCGGCAGGGTTTAAGTTATCTGTTAGGCACATAACAAAATGTGAAACAGTTGGGAAGTGGGAGTAGTCTGAACTTCAGTTCTTAAATCCATGGAATGAGGTTGGATCCATTTTATATTGAATACTGTTTTATAGGAAATAATGTTATTATGAGATTCCAGTGTATTACAATGAAAGTAGCCTTTGCTGATAGGCAGTCTGTTAAGTACTTTATACTTAAGTCATTCTCGAATGTATGTAGTGAGGACTTTATTTTTTTTAACTCTTTATTTTGAAGTAATTTCAAATTTACATAAAAATTAACAGGCAGTGCACAGAGCTCCAATATACTCTTCCAAATTTCCCTCATTGTTAACATTCTGAACCATTTGAAAATAAGATGTAGACATGGTGCCCTATTACTCCCCTTAATATTTTGGTGTGTATTTGTTAATACACAAGGTTCCTCTCCCATATGACTGTGGTACAACCATCAAAATCAGGATATTAAGATTGATCAGATATTACCACCTAATCTACAGGCTCTGATTTTGCTTATTATTCTGTCTTTAGTACATCTGGGATCATGTGCGCCATTAGTTGTCATATCTCTTTTGTCTTAGCCGTCTGGGAACAGTTTCTCCTTACTGTTTATGGGTTTGATAAATTTTGAAGAAAACAGGCAAGTTATAGAATCTCTGTCAATTTGGGTTTATTTAATGTTCCTTCGTGATTTGTACATTTTTGGCAGGAATATTAGAAGTGATTCTCTGCTTTTTTCAGTATTGTGTCATGAAGCACATGATGTTGATTTATCCTGATTCTGTGGTGTGAACATTTTATTACATGAGAAGATGTCTTTGAGATTTCTCTCTTGTAAATTTGATTTTAAGAATGTCAGTTAATAAGATGTAATTTGTGAGGAGATACTTCAATACTCTAAATATCTTGTTTCTGTCAAACTTCTGCCTGTTTACCAGTTTAAGACATTGATAATTTTTGCCTGAATCAGTTATTACTGCTATAGTTACCAAGTGATGATTTAAAAAGTTCCATTATATCTTCTAGATTTATCAGTTGGCATTGTACTGGTTGTCATGTTTTTCCTTCTCTTCCCATTTATGTATTCATTAATTTACATTGTTATGGGCTTAAGGCGCCCTGTTACAATCTGTCACTATTTTTTGGATGCTCACATGGCCCTGACTTAGCCAGTGAGAACTTTGTCAAGCCAATTTCTTTTTCTTTTGAAAGATAAGAAATTTCAGGCCTGTTCTGAATTAAAGCCTCATTTTTAATTAAATACGGTTAGTATTTTTGTGTGTGCAGTTTGAAAAGTGAAAAGTAACTATCTTTTTTTGCCTGTTTGTTATAGGAAACGAGATTATGAAGGCTATTTATGTTCTCTGCTGTTCCCTACAGAATCCAGAAGCTCTGCTTTTGCGCTGAGGGCCTTTAATGTGGAACTGGCACAGGCTGGTATTAAAATATCTTTAAAAATTATTTGCAAAGATTTTGGCAAAATGTGTTTAATGATGAACAATAAAGAAATATAGTTGTAATTTATATGTTAGATGTGTTGAAGGTCTGCTGGCAATTTCTCCTGCTGTTTAGGCTTAACAATTCAATCCCCACCCCACCCCAAAAAAATGCTAGCTAATGAACTTAATGTTTCTGGAAATACCATTCTGGAATTTTAGTTGTTTTTCTAAGAATATTATGAAACTATGCAATTAACATTGTACATTTGTCTATTAATTGAATAGGTTAATCACAGTATTACTGCTTATAGCAGTTTTGAAGCACTTTTTAAATTGAGGTTTTTAGTTTAATGTTAAATGGGGAATGGAGGCAATTATAGTGAACTCAGACCTTAGGTCATGCTAAATCACTTTTGTCTAAAGAATTACAGAGGCAGGAAAGACCCTTCCTTTTCTGAAAATGGAAAGACCAAGTACTGCTACAACACAAATTGAAATGCAGGATGGATATAAGGGAGGTAAAAGTGGAGTGGCCTTGACCTTCTCAGTAAATGAAATGAAGAGGTCAGTCATCATGAGTGAGGGAGCAGGGAGGTGTGAAGCTTGAAGCGAGTGGCAAGTGCTGGCAAGTCTATTCTGGTCACCGTGATAGGAAGCAAACTAGAATGCATAAAAGGATGTAAGGATAGCACTGGGGCACAATTGAGGTTAGATACTATAAATCTGGAGAGTCCAATAGGCTGGCATTTTTCCTTGGTGTATTTTTATGTTTTTTTTACCTTTTTCATGTATGAACTATACCTTAGCATTTAAGTCAATCACAGTTTAGCAATAGAGTCCCTGTTGTGATCTTTAATTATAACTTTAAAATGATTGAAATTCCATTTTTAATAAGTAAACCCCCTAGGGTTCCCCTGAATTCTCTGTCGCTTTGTAGGATTATCTTGCTGCTGTTTTGCCTACAGTCTTTTTTGTTCATTCATTCAGCAAATACTGATTGTCTAAAATGTGCTAGGCACTGTTTTAAGTCTCAGGGTATTGCACTAAATGAAACATACAGAAACCCTACATTCAGGGAACAAACAAGTACTGTTTAATATGTTAGATGGAAACAAACACTTTGGAGAAAAATTAAGGGGAATGGAGAAGGCTGGGTATAGCAGGGATTCCTATTTTATGTAGAAGGTGGCATTTGAGCAAAGATATGAAGGAGGCAAGGGAGTGAGATATGTGGATGAGGAGTGTTCTGGATGGAAGCAACAGCAAGTGCAAAGGCTTTGAGGTGCAAGTGTGTGTGGCCAGTGTGGTACAGCAGAGGGGGGAGGGAGAGCAAGGGAAGAGATTATGTTAGAGGTACCTGGGCCAGAAAAGTAAGGTCTTAGAGACCATTGCAATCACTTTGACTTGTACTCTGAAATGAGAAACCACTGGGAGTTCTGAGCAGAAAAGGACGTAATCTCTTGGTTTTAGTCAGCATGTCTTCTTACTGCTTTAAGAACAGACTATGTGCCACCAGGATCTAAGCACTAAATATGCTAAGAGACTCACCCAGCACCAAGACCATTGAAAAAACAGAATTTTTCTTAGGAAATAATTTCACACAAAGAAGTAAGAATACCCATATTCCCTCTTGTTAATATTTTGCCTTTTTTGCTTTATCATTTTGTCTATTTATTTTTTCTTTTATGAATGACTTTAGAGTAACTTGACAACACCATGGACTTTATCCCTATAAAACTTGAATGTATATTTCAAAAGATAAAAAGTATTCTCCTCTATAACTACAGTACGATCATCAATTTTGAGTAAATTTGACATTGATATAATACTTTTATTTTATCTACCATCTGGTTTCCAGTTTTGTCAAATGACCCAGTAATGTCCTTTGTTGTATTTTTCCCTCTTTGTACAGAATCCAGTTTAGGATCATGTATTGCATTTAGTTTTCATGTCTCTTTAGCATCCTTTAATCTAGAACATCTGCACAGCCTGTCTTTTATGACACTCACATTTTTAAAACAATGTTGCTCCTTTTTAAAAATAGAATGTTCCTCATTTGGAGTTTTATTTTTTTGTCATGACTATATAGGCATTTGTACCCTAATATTACCTAAGTGATGTGTGTTCTTTACAGAGAATCACAGGGAAACATGAAATGTCCATCTGCCTTTTATTGGTGATACTAATTTTAGTCACCAGGGAAGATGTTAGTATTTTTTTCCTTGCTAAATGTGAGTAGACATTTTGAGACCTCATCAAAATTTACCTCCTAGGTGGCCAACAGGGGGTACTAACTCAACATCACTAACATCAGGGAAATGCAAATCAGCATCACAATGAGCGACCACCTCACACCTGTTAGAATGACTGTTACCAAAAAGATAAGAAATAAAAGTACTGGCAAGGATGTGGAGAAAAGGGAAGCCTTATGCACTGTTGGTAGGAATGTAAGTTGGTGCAGTCACTACAAAAACAGTATGGAGAGTCCTTAAAAAGCTAAAGTAGAACTACCTTATGATCCAGCAATTCTACTTCCAGGTATTTATCTGAAGGAAATGAAAACACTAACTTGAAGGACATCTGCATCCTTTGTCCATTGCAGCATTGTTTACAATAGCCAAGATAGGAAAACAGCCTAGTGCCCACAGATGGATGAATGGATAGAGAAATATATACATATATATATTTATAAATATAACACATAGTTTGTTTTATACATATTTATAAATATATATAAAAACATATACATACACAATGGAATATTACTCAGCTATAAAAAAGGAGGAAGTCTTGCCATTTGTGACAGCATGGATGGGCCACAAGGCATTATGCTAAGTGAAATAAGTCAGAGAGAGACAAATATTGTATGATCTCATTTCTTTGTGGAAACTAAAGAATAAATTCCCTAAACTCATAGATACAGAGAACAGATCAGCGATGGCCAGTGGTGGGAGGAAGGGGTTGGAAAATGGGTGAAAGTGGTTGCAAAGTACAAACTTTCAGTTATAAAATAAATAGGTCATGGGGATGTAATGTATAGCATTGTGACAGTAGGTAATAATACTGCATTGTATATTTGAAAGTTGCTAAAAGAGTAGATCTTGAAGTTTCTTATAATAAGAAAAAAGATTTGTGACTGTGGTGATGGATGTTACCTAGACTTATTGTGATCATTTTGTTGTATATACATAGATCAAACCATTATGTTGTGCAATAGAAACCAATATAATGTTCTACGTTAGTTATATCTCAGTTAAAAAAAACTTACCTCCTAGATTAAGTGTACATTGGTGATTCTTGCCTGAATCTTGCAAGGCCATTCTTAATCAGTTGTGAATGAGGGAGATAGTTTAATAATCTTTTAAAAATAGTCTCCTAAAACTCATGAATGAGTGAGCTTATTTAAATGTACATACAGTGAAATTCCTTTTTCTGGTTTACAGTTCTATAGGTTTTTGAAACAGGCATAGAATCATGTATTCACCATTTTAGTTGTGATACGTAACAATCCCATCCACCCCCAAAATTCCCTCATGTGCCCCTTTGCAGTCAGCCCTTCCCCTCATCCACAGTCTTTTGCTTATCCTCCTGGTTCCCTTATCAGAGCTGTGAATATATGGAGCATGGGATAAACTACTGCTGTTACTTGTTGTGAGGATTGTAATCAGATAATCTCTGGGGCAATACCTAGGACAGGGCCTGGTACTTGTAGATGTTTGATAAGTGTTAATCCCTTCCCTGTTTCCTCTAAAAAGCCCCTGGTTCTATTTCCTAGGTTTATCTTCAGACATAAAAGTATTTTTTCCATCACTAATCTAGTGAGGATTGTTTTCCTTCTCTTCCATTTATTTTTATTATGGGAAATTTCAAACATACACAGAATTAGGGAGAGTAGAATAATGAACCTTCATAAGCCCGTTAACCAGCTCCAACTGTTACTAACTCAAAAAGCCAATCATGGTTTTTCATCTCTATCCCCACCCATCCCATCCCCACCTCCAGGTTATTTTGAAGTAAGTCTCAGATAAATTTCTCTATCTGTAAATATTTCAGTACATATCATGAAAAGACAACTCAGTTAAAAAAATAACCACATAGTTATATATTAAAAATTTAACAGTAGTTTTATAATATCATGAAATATCCAGTGTTCATATTTTCCCAATTGTCTCTGTTCAAATTAGGATTCAAATAAGGTCCAGATGTTGCAACTGGTTGATCTCTTAAATTTCTCTTAATCTAAATGTTCCCCCCTGACTCTTTGTTTTATTCTTGCAGTTTATTTCTAGAAGAATATTTTCTATTTTTCCAGACTTGATTGCAGACTTTGTAAAAATGTTTGAATAAGCACCAAATAATTTGCAACTTTTACTCAGGAAACTCATAATTACAACAATTTAACTGATATATAACTTCAAGGAAAAATTTTTAAAAATCTATTGAATTAAATTAGTTTGAATTATGTGATTATGCAGGCACCAATAATTGGTCTTGAAACTGTCAACAGTGCAGTTAATAAAGTTTTTAAGCCTTGTTTACAGGTTAAGGACTCGGTCTCTGAGAAAACAATTGGACTGATGCGAATGCAGTTTTGGAAAAAAACTGTGGATGATATATACTGTGACAGTCCACCACCTCAGCCTGTGGCCATTGAACTGTGGAAGGTAAAAAAAAAGTGCTTTTAATTTGCAAGAATGTTATTTGAGCATACCTTTGATATACACAATTTGGGTAGTGATGATGAAGACTCTGTCCTGAAAATATTCATAGGTTTGTGTAATGTTCACATTTATATTAGTTTTGACAGAGGAATTTAAAATTATTTGCTAATAATTTGCACAGACCTTTCGTGTATTTCCTTGTTAAAGGAAAGAAGAGGAATCTAGTCTCTTTATGTTATAAATTATTTATTTTCCACATATTTGGATGCAGAATTTAAGCCTTACATATTTTGAAGCAATGGCAGGTTAATTTCTCTGCTGTCTGCCCAGCAGCTCCTTATTCCAGTGCTCTGGTCATACGCCAGGCTGGAGAAAACGGGTGCTGATCTTTTGTGATGGGAGACTTGCTCCCACGATTGTCTAGACACAACATCCACACTAAATTACCTTGTCTAATTTGATAGAATTGCCTATTTCTTGGTGAGTTTTAGGTTTTAGAGGCTGGAAACTTATGGGCTACAGTATTATTTGTCTAGCTAGATGTATGTAGTAAGGAGTTTCACATTAAGGCAGGGCTGTGGAGCCCTCATTCATAGAGCCACGCAGAGTTTAGAAATACACTAAACTATGACTGGAGAAAGTCAATAAGGTGCCTTTCGTCACTGCTCTGTCTCCCCACTGTGATATGAGTGCCGGAAGACAGTTTCTGTGACAGGAGCCACTGACAGACCTGACCTCTTCTCAGGTCTGCACACCAGCAGAGGCAGGCCCCCGACTGACTTCACAGAGCCCCAGTAAGGATGGAAAACCAGGCCCCTCCACGGGGACTGAGAAGAAAAAGTGGATGGGAAGCTGTGAGTATTAGATTAGTTGTTACCTCTGTTCTTCTCACGGTAGGAACCTCAAACCTATGTGACTTCAGTTGAGAGAAAAGTTTGTGTAAAATCCAGAAACTCTTTCTGTTTATTATTTTACACAGAAACTTCACTGTAGCAGAAGTTTAAGCTAAGACTTAAATCGAAGATTCCAGCCTTTGTCAGGAAATGTCATGGAAGATCAGAGATTCTTTAACACAAATTAATAATGTCTTCTCTTAAAAAGACCAAAAGCCATATCTGAATTACAGAATGTTTATGTGTTTGCCAGTTTGTCTAATTTTAATAGCTGCTTATATTCTGATGATTAATGTTGGCCAGTTTTCTGATATGACCAGAAGGTTAATATGAACATTTGAAAGAAGCAGGTAGTGTTCAGAGCAGTTGTCCTCATTGTATGTTCCCTGTCTCTCAGCATTTGGCTAGGGCATGCACTTATTTATACCACAGCCCAGTAATACTCTCCGTTGGTTCTTTGAAGAATGTCAGGTTCTGCAAAAGATTAAATAGGGAAACACTGAGTGGCAGTGTTGTCCAGAGAGCACTTTTCTGTCACACTATTTCATTGCTGTCTTTAGGGTATAAAATAGTTGCATATCTACAATTTCTTATACATTTATATGGACATCTCTATTTCTTTGTATATTAGTATTAGTTGCAGGTTGAATTTATGTTTGTAGCCAGCGTTTTTATTCTGTTTGGCTTCTATTTACACGGTTGATGATATTTTATTTAGCGGATTTTCAATTTCTTATAAATACTTTTTGCCGTAATCTCTGATTTCCTTCAGTCAAGCAGAAGAACTATGTTTTGTGGTCAAGGAACTGCAGCTGTATAGTTTCAGCCTTGAGTAAATAGTAGTCTGATTTTTTAGTGCTTAATTATTTATTGAGCCAGGATTGGTCCTTGATGGTGTGGTTACAAACATGCCCAACCACTCGGATGCGAACAAAAGTAAAACAAAATCAGTACTCTTGAATGAGTGAGGAATCCCAAGCTGCCTCCTGAGACTGGAAAGAGGCCTGTAGGGAGTCCTGCTGAGCAATAGAAGTAGTGCTGAGAGCACTACTCCGGAACCAAGGTGCAGCCCTTTTAGCTTCTGTTAGGTTTCTGCCTGGCAAAGTGGGCTCTGCCTGCTCTCCGCACTTCCACCCTTTGTCACCTCAGTGTGTACTGATGAGCACGCTAGCCTTTACATTTTAGTATCAATGACATCTCAGAGTCTTAGTTGAAGTATAGAATATTCCTAAGACTTTATGTTTTACTACCATATTTATTAATTGTGAAAATATATGTAGTGTTGACTTGGCAAGAAAATGTTTAAACTTATTTGGAAATAATTTCAAACTTTGAGAAAGGTCACATAATTTAAAATAGTACAAAGAACACAAAAGTACAAAGAATACCGTTTGTCCAGATTCACCTGTTATTAACCATTTATCCCATTTGTTAGTCATCTGTGCATGTGCACTGTCTGTGTGCATGTATTGTCATACTCATAATTTTCTGAATCATTTGAGGGTAGGTTATATACATCATGGCACTTTATTCCTAAATACTTTAATATTTCCTAAGAATAGGGGTATTCTTTTATATAACCGTAACAGTCACTGGCTTTTGTAAATTTAGCTTGATAAAACACCTTCATCTGATTTTCCATTTATATTCCAATTTTGTCACTTGACTTAGTAACGTCCACTATATCCACTATAGTATTTTTCCCTCCAGTGTAGGATCCAGCCTAGGGTCAGGTATTTAGTGGTCATGTCTCCTTAGCCTACTTTAATCTGGAACATTTCTGTAGCTTCTCTTTGTCTTCTATGACATGGAAATTTTGAAGTGTTAGCCCCCCAACTTTTAATCTTTTTTCAAAAACAAATTCCTTGTTTTGGATTTGTCTGATGCTTTCAGACATCATGAGTAGATATGGTTTATGCATTCTTGGCCAGAATACTGCATGGGTGTTATGTTCTCAGTGTATCACATCTGGGGGTACACTTTGTCCATTTGTCATTCATTGGTATTGTTAATTTTCATCACCTAGTCAACATGTTGCCTGCTTTTTCCACTGTATAATTACAATTTCCCTTGCAATTAGTTAACTTTAAGACTACACGAATATCCTGTTCCTTATCAATTTCCGCTAAACTTAGCATTCACTGATGATTCTTGTCTAGTTCAGTCTTTACCATTATGATTACAAAATGATAATTCCCAATTCTAGTACTCTGTCCACATTACCAGTTGGCACTTGATAGTCTGCTGTATAAGCAAAAAACTCCTATATTTATTTGTTTACTAATTATTGGTCCATACTTCCTGAATTCTTTTTTTTTCAGTAGTAAATAATTCCTCATGAATTCTTGTTTTTATCTAGTAGTTAACAATTCATTCCTATACTTATTTTGATGTTCAAATTATCCCAGATTTGGACAGTTGGAGCCCCTTCAGACTTGCTCCTGTATCCTATGACATGTACCCCCATTATTTTGTGAGCAATTTCTAGTGTCTGGCATAGTAAATATTCCAGGATCATTTTGAATCTCCAGCTCTGGAATCACCCATTCTCTATAGTTCCTGTTTCCTTTGGAGGGAATGGTGTTAGAGATCAAAATCTGGTCACTAGGTATGCTCTATCTTACTAGAGTGTCTTTACTTGCCAAGATAACACTGTACTCTGAAGATTATTTTCTTTCTACTTTTAACTATTCTTTTCATTTATGGAGAAGTGCTTGTTTTCAATAAACAGAACCTTTAGGCTTTGGAAAAAAGTTTGAGTGTAGTAAGCATAGAGGTCAGGATGCATCATATAACAGTGAAGCTTGCTATTTAAATCTTGTTTTTGTTTTGAAAATGGAATTGTTAACTTGCTAATAGTATAAGAAAAAAAGAGAGAGTAGTGGAAATGTTTTGGATATATTATCTTTAGTTGGAAACGTTTTTAAATGTTTTCTAGGGACATCTTTTTCCCTGTTATTTCTTTAACACAGCTGTTTATCTGATGATGATTTATTATTAATATTCCATTACTTAGTTTTGTATTTGGTTTGTTTATTTTATTCAGATCTGCAGAAGTCATTCTAGTACTTTTTAAAAACTTGCAACACTTACTTTTTTAGGCTGTTAAAAGACATAATCTGACTAAAAGATGGCTTATGAAAATCATTGATGAAAGAGTAAGTTGAAATTGCTCAAGTCTTATGCTTTTTCTTTCTTTTTAATCCTTAAAGCTAATTCTTCAGGGGAGAAATGTTTTAATATGTGTGTATTTTGGAGGAAGGAAACTTTTAGAGAACTATGCCATTTTATCCATTCTCTATCACTGCCTGGAATGCATGTGCATACCTACACTCTCTCTTTTGTTTTTTTTTCCATGTGGAAATTTTCAGACTTATACAAAAGTAGAGAATATAATATGTATTCTGTAAAGTGTAGTATACTTTCATGTATCTGTCACCAGCTTTAATAGCTATTACACATGTACAATCTTGTTTCATCTGTATTCTGCCAACTCCCTTCACTAAATCCCATTGGATTATTGTAAAGTAAACCCTACACATGTCATTTGATCTGCAAATATATATGTATATTGAAAAGATAAAAACTTAAAAAATAACCACAATATGATTATCACACCTTTAATTACAGATAATCCCTTTATATCAAAACTTGAGTAGTCATACACATATGTACACCCAGTGCTTGCATCTCTGTCATCTTTGTCCAAATAGTAGGGGGAATAAAGAAAGTCTGGCAGTTTTATTCTAGTGAATTAAATCATCTACTAAGTTCTTAGAATCAAGTTCCAGTTCCAACCAACTGTATAAATTGCTCTGTGGCCTGGACCCACTTGTGTAATCTTTGTGACGCGTTGTTTGTTCAGTGTCCTCACCAGTCTGATACTTGTCACATAGTGTTGTCATGAAAATGTAGGTTTGCTTAGTTTGTTTGGGTATAGTCTATTAATAACTATAGACTATAGTAGTAATAATATAAGCCAAAATGAGAGATAATGACCTCAGTGTTTTAAAAAATTGCTCAGTTGACCTATTGAGTTAATTACCACTAAGAAAATCTATTTTTCAGGTGTCTGTTGGGCAAAAAATAGTAGAGAACTCAGGACAGAGATAACTTTTTTGTTTAATGGAAAATAACATTTCACATTTATAGGGAGGGATATTTATTTATTTGTTTATTTTTATTCTGAAAAGATTTTTATTTTAACATTAAGACATCACTTAAATAAGGATTTCAAATGTCTGATCACCTTCAGCATAAATTTTTTAAGTATGCTCTTACCAGATTAATAGAACTAGACTGCAAGTACCAGATTAATAGAATAGACTGTCAAAGAAACAATGAATTATCTGAATAAGAAGAAGGTGGTAGCAAGTGTAGGGAGGGATATTTAAAAGTAAAGGACTGGGACCAATCTCCATGCATTAATCTATAGATTAAATACAATCCCTATAAAAATTCCAGCTACCTATTTTGCAGAAATGGATAACCTGACCCTAAATTAATATGGAATTGCAAGGGACCCAGAATTGCCAATATAATCTTGAAAAAGAACAAAATTGGAGGACTTACATTTCCCGATTTTGAAACTTAGCTACAAACTTACAGTAATTGGCAGGGCATACACATATAGATCAATGGAATAGAATTGAGAGTCCAGAAATACACCCACATATTCATAGGCAGTTGATGTTTAACAAGGTATGAAGATAATTCCCTGGGGAAAGAATAACTTTTTCAACAAATAATGCTGGGACAACTGGATATCCACATGCAAAAGAATGATTTTGGACTCCTATCTCACATCATAATACAAAAACTAATTAAAAATGAATTAAAGACTTAAATGTAACAGTTAAAACTATAAAACTCTCTTGAGAGAAAACATAAGTGTAAATCTTTGTGACTTTAGGTGAGGCAGCGATTCCTTAGGTACAATGCTAAAAGCATAAGCAGTAAAAGAAAAAATAGGTAATTGGATTTCATCAAAATTACAAACTTAAAGAAAGTGAAAAATCAGTTCATGGAATCGAGGAAAATATTTGCAACAACATATTTGATAAAGGAACTAGTATCTAGACTATATAAAGAATTCATTCAACTCAACAATTAAAAGGCAACCCAATTTAAAAAATGGGCAAAGAATTTGAGTAAATATTTCTCCAAGGAAGATACACAAATGACTAATAAGCACCTAAAAACATAATCAACATCTTTTCATTAGGGAAATGCAAATCAAAATCACAGTGAACTACCACTTCACACCCATTAGGGCAGTTACAATAAAACAGACAAATAATAACAAGTGTTGAAGAGGTTGTGTAGAAATTATAAACCTTTATACAATGCTGACAGGAATGTAACATGGTGCAGTCCCTTTGGAAAAACAGTTTGGCAGTTCATTAGAAAGTTACACATAGTTACCATAGATCCAGAAATTTCACTCCTGTATTTATACTTAAGAGAAGTAAAAGCATATGTCCACATAAAACTTGTACACAGATGTTCATAGCAGCATTATTCATGATGTCCAAAAGTGGGAATGACTCAGTCAACCAGTGAATGAATAAACAATGTGATATATCCATACAATGGAATAGTATTAATCATTTCTTCCTTTAAGAAGAATGAGGTATTCCAACATGGATGAACCTTGAAAACATGCTAATTGGAAGGAACCAGACACAGAAAGCCAGATCCTGTATTATCATTGTCGAACAGATAAATCCATGGAGACCAGAAATAGATTAGTGGTTTTCCAGGGAATAAGGGGATGGAGAAAATGGGAAGTGACTGCTTAATGGATATGGGGTTTTTTTTAGAGGTGATGAAACATTCTGGAATTAGTAGTGATAGTTGCACAACTTGTGAATATAGTAAAAATCACTGAATTGTATATTTAAAGAGGGTAGATTTTATGAATTATGCCTCAATTAAAAAAATTTCAAGATCTGGACATATTTTTCCTAGGATCACTGCTGGAGCCATTTTCTCCTTATTTAAAAAAAAAAAAAAAGGAGGAAGAGATGTATTACCTTGGCAGTAAAGTCTTTTTAAATATATTATAAAAGTGGCTAGATGTTCTTACACTAAGATGTACAGATTTTTGTTAGAATATAGTGTTGACATAATCCTGTTACATTCTTAGAGGGGAGAGGGTGCCTGGTTATGATCTTTCTTATTCTAGGCACTTTTTCTTTATTTAAGAGCATGGACTTAACAGTCAAAATATGTGGGTTTGAGTCTTATCCCACTATTTATTAGCTATGAGACCTGGGGCATATTACTTAATGTGTCCATTACTCAGTTTCTTCATCTGCAAAAATGAAAAAGTACTAATTCCTTATCCTTTGAGGGGGGTTGTTAGAATTAAGAAAATGTCTGAAGAGGCTTCAGTTAGAGCTCAGTTATGTTGGTTTCTCATGATACCTTGGTTTTTGAAGGAGTTAAAAATTAAGCTGACCCCATGTCCATGGTGCTTTGTGCATTGAGATTGTTCCTGAGGTATTTTATTGAGGGATGATTTATAAATATTGAATGTATAGGTCTTTAATAATTTAATTTTAATCTTTATTGTTTACTAAAATTGTGTCTTTAGAGCAAAAAATATTGCCTTAATAAAATATTGACAATTCATCAAACTTCATTTGCATTTTGTTTGACTATAGGAAAAAAATTTGGATGACAGAGCATATTGTAATATCCAGGAACTAGAAAATTATGCTGAAAACACGCAGAGTTCTCTTCTTTATTTAACACTGGAAGTACTGGGTAAGTTTTTTTTTCTATTTTGTACTAATCTTTTTCAAGGAAAACAACTTTCAAACTTCATTCTGTCATAATTTGACATTTTAACACTGAAGCTTTTTCTTGAATCATCTATAAAGGAACAGCTTTTCTTTTTTAGCAGGAAGGGGAATATATATCTTTCTTTGGCATGCAGACTAATCAAAATACTCAGGCTCCCATAAAAGTACTTGAGCTACCTCATGGGAATGCTGTTAATAATAATCTGGTAATTGGCAGATGGTTTTACCTTTTAAGCAACTCCTACAATTTGGAAGGCCTATGGCCTGACTTTTCCTTCCTTGTCAATAATACTTGCCCATATAAAAAAAGAAAAAGAAAAAAAATAAAACTGTGTTTTTAAAAGTTTTTATGAGATTTAAAATTTTCCTTTTTTTTTTTTGTAAACTAAACTAACTTAGATGATTCTGTTCCTTATCTGACTTTATTCGGAGTTGTTGAGATCTTATTATAATGGGGAAATTATTTGGGCCAAGGACAGTTCCATCTCTTTTGAAGAATGTAATATATCTTCTCATCACCCTAAGAAATAACACAAGTCCCTTTTGAATTTCCTAGGCCTTTTCTGCCTTAATACTCGGGGACATGTTTGCCAACACAGTGGAAGGAGGGAGTGAAAAGCAGAATGTTTGTTAAGCATAAACTTAAAATGAGGTCATATGGAAATTGCATTGAGAAGAAGAAATGGAAGACTTGTAATGTGTTTTCAGGATAACTGATTAAAATTCCAAATGTGCTCTTGGTGTGCTGTAGTCTTAAGAAAACTCTTTTATTTGAAAATGGAGGTTCAGAAACCTGTAGTGAACAATCTGTGTGTTTATGCCCAGTTTTGCTCACATAAATCCTGTTTTTCAGATATTAAACACAGGGTAGACACCTGCTTTTACATGTTAAGGTGATTTCTCCAAAGTACTTCTATTAATTTGTTACGCATTTAAAGAGAAAAGAGCAGACCTGTTTACTTTCTAAAATTGTAGGTGTAAAGGACCTTCATGCAGATCATGTTGCAAGTCATGTTGGAAAAGCACAAGGCATTGTCACTTGCTTGAGAGCCACGCCCTATCATGGTAGCAGAAGGAGGGTGCTCCTTCCCATGGATGTTTGTGTGCTGGTAAGGCTGTTATTTGTTCCCTCTAATAATTTATTCAGGAATCTGGGGAGGAATGTTATCTCTTGATTCTTTGCTTAGTCTCTTTAAGTAACTTGTTTTGAATTGAATTCTTATTGCTTTTTGCTCCAGAGTTATCAAGTCAGAATTTTATCAGTCAGGCACTTCAGGTCTGTAGCGAAGCTTGGAGTGAGAAGGTCTGGAGAAGCTCCCTTGGTGTAGCTTCATGCTGATGCCTTGCTTCCTTCTAAGCAGTTACCATAATTATTCCTAGAGTTCACCTTCACCTGTTCTTATTTTAAAGGAGGAACTAACCCATTAAAAAACAATATTATATATGAGAACTTCTGTTTTCTGGTTGTTTGCTGAGATTCATTATTGTCTGTTCTTTTAAATTTCTTAAATGTTTATTTTTTGCTTCTATATTTTTGTTCTACCTACATCTTGTTGTATATATTTTTTCAGGAGTGTGTGTGTGTGTGTGTGTGTTTACACACACACATTTGTAAGTATACATACATTTTTTAAAACAAAATAGACATTGTCCTGTACATGTTGTTCTCATACCTGCTTTTCTCGAGCTGAGTTAGTTTTAAGATTTTAGATTCTTTTTAGCTTTTAGATTTTAAGCTTTTAGATTCCTAATTAAGTGTACATTGTCCTACACAGCATGGTGTTTCACAAGAGGATTTTCTACGGAAGAACCAAGATAAAAATGTGAGAGATGTGATCTATGATATTGCCAGCCAGGCACATGTGCATCTAAACCATGTAAGTAACCTCTTTTTGCAAAATTGTTTAGGAAACGATTATTTCTTGAAGTGGCTATTCCTAGAGCATGGTTATGGCCATCCTTCCTTGGCAATCTTTATTCCATCTGCATTGAAATGCTGGTGAATTTTTCTCAGGGATAATTGTAAACTTTAAAAAAATTCCTTTCTCCCTCTCAGCAGATGAATACACCCTTCACTGAGCAAATCAAGCCCCCGCTTCCTCACTGTGTCCCTAAATCTCAGGGGACAGGGTGTCCTGTCCTGCCAGGGCTGCCTGCCCAGCTTTCCCAGAACTGTGCATCCTCAGTAGTACAAAGCTGGTGTTTTCAGTCAGCCTCTCTGAAAACTTGCCCCTTTTATTTCCTGTCTGTTGCTACTGTCTTCTGAAGTTACAGGTGACTGGTGGGCCCGTCTGTGGCTTATTTTTCCTCCCCAGTTAAACTTCTTGAGTATGTGTTCTGCATTCATTGTCACCTCAGGCCCTCACTGCCCTGCATGGTTCATCTTGCTATAATTTGGCTTCCATCCTGCCTGCTCTAATAGTCATCACTAGTAAATAATAATATTATTGCCACATTAGGGGCATTTATAACTCCTATTTGTGTTAATTCTTTTTGCTTCTTGATACCATTGATTGTTTTTCTCCTTGAAACTTTCTAACATTTTCTTCCTTTGGTGCTCTGACTTGGCTTCTGAACTGGTTCTGGATTTTCCTGCCAATCATTAGCTGTTTCTTAAGAGTGAGTTTTTCATCTCTTCTCAAACTGTGGCTTGTCTTCTGTTACCATACCTCCTCTTTCTTGAAGCTTTGTCCTTCCTCTCAGTGTTGCTGCTCCTTCCTGATTCTCTTTGAATCATGCCTTTATTTCAGTGGCTCCTGAAGATTGGGTGGAAACTTTCTATTTCCTTAATTCCTATGATGCTATTTTTTTCCTGGTTCTTTTTATGAACCATTTTTTTAAGCTTCAGTGGATCTGAAAGACATGTCATTTACTTGCATACCTCAGGGCCTTTGTATTTGCTGTTTTTCTGATCAGAAGGCTTTCTCCCTCCCCTTCCCCCTTTCATGGCCCCACAGTTAGTGAGTTAACTAACTCACCAACTGGCCCCTTAACCAGAGGTTAACTGATCTTAACCTCTCTGTGCCTCAGTTTCCTCATCTGTAAGAAAGGATCATAACTCACTAACATGGCCCCTGAGTTAAGTTAAAGAAAGCAAAAAGATCTTTCCTAGCCACCATCTCTGAAATAACATCCTCCCTTTCCATCACCCTCAGTCCCTTTACCTGACTTCGTACTTTTCACTGCCTGACATGTTACAAGTTTTTTTGTTTAATGCCGCCCCAAAGAATATAAGTGACTTTGTTTGGTTTCTATGCTATATTCTTCAGCATCTAAAGTGCCTGTCTATTTTAGGCACCCAGTAAATATTTGTGAAATACTAAATAAGTAATGAGATTGTAAGCTTTTTGAGAGTAAAACTCTGTCTTAATCATCTTTTATTTCCTGAGGAATCTAGCACAGAACTACATAGAACTTTACAGGAAAAATTACTTAAAAGTAGCAGAGTTTTAGGTAAGATCTGAGAACACTACAGAATTGTAGAAGGAGAAAACCCCTGGACCTTTGTTAGAACCTGAATAGCCCCAGCTGATAACATTTAAGGCACTTAAGAAATACAAATTCTCAGACTGTGCCCCATGGAGACCAATACAGTAAACCTGGGGTAGGGCCAGCAATTAAAATATCCAAATGATTTTTAATAGCCAAGTTTGAAAACGATTGCTTTTTAGATTATGTGAAATAAGGTCCTGGAAAATGGGTTTGGAAGAGATGACTGAAGAAAAATTACAGAGTTTTGGTGGCTTTTGAGATGTAGTAGAAGATGGTAGATGAGAGTTCAAACTCTGGAACCAGAAGCCTGACTTTAAATCCTAGCTTTGCTGTTTACTAATCATGTGATCTTAACCTCTCTGTGCCTTAGTTTCCTCATCTGTAAGAAAGGATCATTTTAGTACCTAACTCAAAGTGTTGTGATTTGAACATATGAGTTGACTTTATATAAAGGATTTATAACAGTGCCTGGCATGTAGTAAGTAAATATAAGTTAGCTCCCATCATCATTGTCATCAAGTAAAGCAGTGACATTAGTGTTGCACCCTAGAAAACTCTGCCAGCAGTGTTTGGGATGAGAGAATTTGGGATTGGAAGACAGTGTCTGATTGTGGGGAGGGCAGATGCTTATCTACGTGTATGTATGTGTAAGTTTATATATGTATCAGCTAGATTTGATAACTAATTGGACTGTGTAAGATCAGGAAAAGAAAAGTTGAGTGCTGCACAGAGTTCAAGTGTAGATGGTGATGGGGCCATTCAGAGACTACAGTAAAAAGGCAATAGTATGCTAGGTGTTGATCAGTAGACTTTGGACTAGCTGTTGGACATCATTAAAGGCAAATGACTTAGAGGATATTTAGCAAGATGGGCTACTGAAGAATGGAGGATTGTGACTTTGAAAGGAGGTCAGAACTCTTGAGGTCCATCTCCATTTCTTAAATAGAAGAGGCAGGGCTATTTATTATGGAGGAAGAGAAGGAAAGAATGATCAACGGAGGGGGGGAACTGAAAGTCAGTGTCTTGGAAACCAAGGGAGGAGAACATTCTAAGAAAGGGAAATATTAAAGTTTTGTGAGCTGCAGAGAGATTGGAGAGAAAAGATGGGGATGGTGGTTCGCAATCTCAGTTGATCTTGAAGAGAGTAATTTTACTAGATGGTTGAGGGTAATACCAGAGTATAGTGGGCTAAGTGAGTCAGAAGTAGAGGTATTATCGGGCAATATAAACCAAGACCTGTAGACAAGAGTGGACTTGGCAAATGCAGGATGATGAGTGGATCAGGGCTTCATACACCAGAGGAGTTAGGTCATACATCTCAGGTTCAAGTCAAATTTGGAGTTCTTTGAATTCCAAGGGGAATAGCTGAGACTTCAAGTATCAGGGAGTTAAGTTAAAGAAAGCAAAAATAAAACGATGACTTGAGGACATTAATTTGGCTGGTTGGGTGAACTGAATTTAAGGTGGGGAAAAACAGATCAGTTAGGAGGGCCTTATATTCCTCTAACCATTAGATGATGATCATCTAAGCTAGGGAGGTGTTGGGACTTGCTAACACAAGGATTTCTTCCTTTACTCCTTACCACAGAGCTAGAGGCCCAAGTTGTAAGGTGTCATAAGGCAGCTGGAAAATGCCAAAGCTAAGACAGGATGGAATTCTTCATATAGTACTTTTTCCTGAGTCCTTTAGGCTGAGGAAATTAATCTTAATCAGCAGATGAGATCTATTTTCTTGCTGTTGAGGGAGCCCTAGCCGTGTTATTAAACTGCTGGTGTTGCTTTGTGTTCATTTTCAGAGGGAGAGTGTTTATTTCCAGAAATATTTATATTTCAAACCAGCTTCCTTTTGTCTTCCTTTTCAGGCTAGGTCCTTCCACAAAAGTGTTCCTGTGAAAGCGTTTCCTGCTTTTCTTCAGACAGTAAGTAAATTAACAGAGAACACTGTTTAATTAGTGAAGCAGATGTGTATGATCTCTTTTTCTGTTTTATTACATTCCGAGGGCAGTTCTTCAGTTTGGAGTCTTTGTTTTTGTTTTTGTTTTGTTAGTTACATACTGCTCCTGGTGATGGTCGTGACTGTTTCCCACCGTGTTCCTCAGTTTACTCACAGGTAAAATGTGAATCAGGAGAACAACCTCAGGATTGTTAGGCTACTTACAGCTATCTAAGTATTACTATTAGTCCATTAATTTTTTTCTCCACAGTGACCATATGGTAGCACTGGTCACCAAACAGTGGTTCACAAACCAGTGCATTGGAATGACCTGGAAAGCTTTAAAAAAAAGATTCCTGCGGTCTTCATAGTAAATAAGACTCTTGGGACTGAGAAGGGGTACATTCCTAGGAAAATCTGTGATTTTTTTTAAAGTTCCCCAGGTGACTCTGATAAGTAGCCAGGTTCAGGTTCAGCCAGTAGCTTCCAATTATTTAGCACCTATTTTAGGGACAGGCTCTGAGCTGTCATTTCCTACCTTATTCCTAATCACCTTGAGATATGGTTTGTTTAATTATATAGATAGAAACCGAGGTTCAAAGATTTGTGGTCTTGGAAAATTGCAAACTCCTGTATTTCCTAGAGTACAAAACATTTCTTTTGCCTTTTTCCCTAAAATTTATTTAAAGATTCATTTATCCCTTCACATCTTCTATCCTAGGTCTCAGATCTGAGTATTTGAAATTATTTTGTTTCTTTACTGGGTATACTTATTTTATATATGTACATATACATATATATAAAAATAACTTATTATTATTAAAGTAATATATTAATATCTTAGATGTTCACATAATATAGGAGGAGGCAAAGGAAATGAGAATCCTCTCACGATTCCATCCCTTCCTGAGATAATGTCTGTTCATCCTTCTTGACTTTTTATGTTCATATAGTCACTTATGTAATTTTTGTTTAAAAGGGGTGTCAGGCATCTCTATGTCAACAAATATTGTTCTTTATCACCATTTTTAATGGTTATTTAGTTATTTGGTCTTAGTTATTTGGTGATATGCCACCACCTGTTTAACTTACTAAGTTAAGCTCTATGAAGGCTAAGGGCTTTGTTTTGTTCACTTCTGTGAAAAAGGTTGTTCTCAACTCGGGTTGCCCATTAGAATCACTTCAGGAGCTTTAAAAAGAAAGAAAACCAAAACAGCGTTGGACCTCCCCCTTCCCCAAAGCAATTAAATCACAATAGTATGAGGTTGGATCCAGGCATTAACTGTTCCTTATAATTGGATATTATAAAACTATTTAAATGAACATAATAGAATTTTCAGAGATGGAAAGTTGATCATAATATATTAAGTGATAAAAAAGCAGTTAAAATGAACTTTTCCCTAATTAAAGAGAGAACATGTGAAAATATACTAAAACATCTTAAAACTTTTTAAATTCGCTTTTAAAATGTTTAATGTTTTATATCTACAAATAAACATGACATATCTATATCTCATATATGTATGCATGTATTATAAAGCATACCATAATGAACAGCCATGAACTCACCACTCAATCCAGGAACTAGAATGTCACCATTAAATTGTACTCGTGAGTTTTCCCCCTCTCATTCCCCTACCCTGCCTTCCTCCCCTAAGTAGCCATCTGAATTTTGTACTTATTATCTTGCTTTTATTCCAAAAAGTCTTTTCCCCATTTTATGAATTCCTAAACAATATGTTGCTTAGTTTTGATTTTAGCTTTATAAAAATAGGTCATTTTCTGTTTATGTCTAAGTTTTACACACACACTCCATGTTTATAAGATTTATCCGTAGTTATTACATCTAGCTATAGTACATTCATTTACTACAGCATTATATTTCAGTACTTAAACAGTTTATTTATTTATTTATTTTTTGGGTCCAAGAACTTCTGGGTTGTTTCCAGGTTTTTGCTAATAAAACAGAAGGCAGGTGAGCACACATTCAGTGCACTTACCTCCTGACGTACATACATAAAAGTTTAGGTATATTAAAATGTACCTACTGAATTTGTTGCACATACACTCATCTCTTCATAAATGTATAGAAAAAAAGTCTGGGAGAAAATACAATCCCTTTTATTTTCTTTTTGCTCATCTGCATGTATATTATACAGATTCCACAGCGTGATCTCTGTTGGATCACAGACTGAACTGCAGAACTCTAGGGGGCGCTCTGTACATGGGCTGAGAAGGGAATGATGCCTCAGAATTGTGCAGGGCAAAACTAGGTAGTATAATAAGTTTCTGAAATAGAAAAATTACAAATTAACAAAAATAACTGAAAACCATAAAATAAAGAGCACTGCCTACTGTCAGTGTTTTCCATCCTGCCCCCCATTCCACTGAAAGCTTTGTCAAGTTTTGTGTGATGGGATAAGCATGGGTGACATTTTTAGGGATTGTTCTTCCTGGTTACAAATCATTTCCTAGCAAGAGAATGGAGACCCATTAAACTTTTTCACAAAATAATTTTTTTAAACAACTTGAGCTCCCCATTGGCGCAGTGCATTTTCTTAGGCAGGGGGTGACTGTGGTAGGAATCATTTTCCTTGATTGAAGCGCCCCTTTGTGTTCTACAGAATCTAGTAATAAGAGCTGGCAAACAGTAATTCTCTAATCTTTTACTAGCACACTTTTAATTTTGACCAGCACGCTATAAATTGTGATCAGAATTGGCTTGATATTTCTAGTCCTAGCTCTATGATCCTGTTTTACTGACCTAATAGAAACTTCTTAAAAGATGTCTTTCTCTCTCCCTTTTAAGATTCTCATTTAAATTCTTAGTATGTAGAAGACCATCTCAGGGAAACTAAAATAGCCTTAATACTTACAAGTTTTCTTTAGTTTCGTAAGGCTTAATCGTTCGTTCTATGCGCTAGTGACCATTGTTCTCTTTTGCAGGTTGCCCTAGAAGACTATTTAAAGAAAATTCAGCAAGTGGATTTTGACATATTCCACCCATCTTTACAGCGGAAGAATACATTACTTCCATTATTTTTGTATATTCAGTCATGGAGAAAAAGATATTAAAATAATTTCATGGCACTGATATTTACTTTTCCTAGTTTTATAAGTGTTCTAGTTCAGGTTCTTGTTTATTTATAAACAACAGGAACTGACTTTGTTTACTTAAGGAGAAAATGAATTTATTGGATGGGTATGTGTAGCTCACAGAATTGATGAGAAGTTGCTGTGAGGTAAAGGTGCCAGGACACTGCCAGGATTCTGCCACAGCACCGCCACTGTCACCACCACCCAGATGGGGTCTGCCTTTAGTGCCATCCCAGTAAGTCCGCGCCCCAGGACGGAGCCCTGTTCTAGCTGTGCTTTGGCTGCAGGCGGTGCTTGAGCCACCAGAGGGCAGGGAGGAGCAGTGTCTCCCTTCTTCACCCGGGGCTCACGTAGTCCTGGTGTGCGTGCTGAGCAGCCAGCTCTCAAATGGCCAGTACAGCTGGGAAATGCGTTTATTTAGGGGTCACAAAGAGGGAAGTTAATATTCGAGGAGTGTCAGTCACTACATTGAGGATTTTATATCCCTAATATTCAGTCGTTACAACCCTGTGAAAATATATCCATGATGGTAAAATTACTGTTTTAAGGTAAAACAGCTGGCTGTCAAGAGGTAGAACTCATGTAACTTCAGGTCTGGCTGATTTGAAAATTTTTTTTTTTATTAACCCCATTGCTTTACTCTGTCATTCAGGATTATCATGATCATGAACAAAATTGTATTAACAAGATGTGTATTAATGTATATTAACAAAATTGTATTGAAAATTCATTAAGGGGTAACTACCTTTTTAAAAACTAGTATATTAGCCAAATTACCCAGTGGCTCTGTGCTGTATACTTTCATAAGTGTTCTCATTTAATCTTTAAAACTCCATCAAATAATGAATTTTTTCAGTAATTAAAAATTGTTACTATAACCTTATAATTGCAAAAAGCAAAATTGTTTGCACTGCTGGAAATTGGCAGATCTGGACTCTGAGTCTCTGACTCCCAAGACCAGGATCATGCCAGTTTCCTTTCCTTGCCTTTTCAGTGGTCTTGTCTCCTGCCCATTCACACATCTGGTGTTCTGTTCCTCTGTCCCATCTCTTTTAAGCCTTTGGTTTCAGCTATGAACTAGTGCCTATTTCAATTGTGAATTAGTTATTGCTTAAAATAATTACATTTTTAAGCAAAAAAGTACTTTTATTTATTTTAAACAGAAACATTTTAAGCAAAAACAACTCAAACTGAGAGCTGCTTGAGGGCAATAATACATTGCTTTATTCTTGGGATTCCCCTTAGAATGGCTTCTGATTTAGAGCAAGTAGAGATTAGTAAATGAGATTAGTGTATAATTGAATGAATGTGCAGTGTGGTTCTATATGTTAGTATACTCTTAGTTGATAACTGATGCTGGAAGAAAATCCTCTTGTTTAATTTTTCCGCTTTAGAGAGCTTTTTAGCTTATCTAAAAGAGTCAAGTACAAGGAAATGGGAGGCATTTCCTCTTGGGATACTGAATGGTCTAGAGTTGAAGAGTTCATTAGAGATGGTCTTTGTGAGTGAGCATTGTTTGTGAGTCTTCCCAGGTTAAATCTGGCAGCAGAGAGCTGCTTAAGCATCTTGCTGCTTATCTGAGGGTCTTAGAAAGGGTTTAAATACTCAACTAGATTACTGGATTCTTTACTGGCTCAGAAGCCAATTTGCTATTGAGTAAAAAATCTCAAAATACTTTCTAAGCCATTTTAAATTTGATGCTTAAGAGATTTGGATGAACTGAAGTGTTCAGTCTCCTAAGAGAGTAAAATGGAGTCTTATCCAGTGACATTTACCATACAGTTAAATTCCTGGCACAAAAGGTCTTCCTTTAGGTGATGCCAACATTCTTTTTCATTTTTCAGATTTTTGTTTTTTTAGTAGAGCATTTGAAAGGAGTCAGATACATTTTCACACGATTTAAGATACATTTTGGAATTGAATAGGTGGAAAGCAATGACAACGAATGTTGAGTATAAATCACAGATCAATCTCCAAGTAGGAAAAGCTGCATATCATTACAAAACACTTCTTGGGTAGTTCCCAATCAACTGGCAGTATTCTTTCTTTCCTTCTGGTTAACTCCTTTCGATAAAATTGCTCTCACTAAATACAACAGCAGCTAACATTTACTGAGCTCCAACTTGGACAGGTGATGTGCACTGCACTTTTAGGCATTAATCTTCACAGAGAAGTAGGTCTTTATTTTGCAAATGATAAAACTGCCTCAGAGATATTAAGCTCAAGGTCACACAGCCATTAGAACTAGAACTCGATGCCAAAGCCCACAACCCATATATTTTTACCATTCTTGAGATTGTAAAATAAGCTGCTAACTTTAAAAGCTTAAGGGCACAACTTTTTTCAGAAGTATTACTGCATACATTTTAGGTACAAATTAGGTCTAAAAAAAAGTATAGTTACTACATAAATTGCAACTACAAATTAGGTGGGAGAAACAAACAGGCAACTGAAATAGATTAAGTGCTGGCTACTGGGTATATGCAGGGGAAACATCACTTCAGAACTCAGAGGTGGCAGTATGTGAGAAGGCTGGGTGGGAGCCGGGGTTTGGAGAGGGGATATAGATGTGGGAAAGTCGTGACTGAGGAAGCAGTATGAACAGAGGCCAGGAGGTCAGTGGGCAAAACGATAGCTTATGTCAAGCCTGAGTTTTCTGGCTTTGACTTACTTAAGTGAGAAGAACAGAATGTAACGTCCTGATTTAGGAAAGATTGTGAATAAAAAGGGGCCACATCCCCTAGTCTAGTGAAATACTTTGATTAAGATCAAAGACTTGAGAATTTGTGTTTTGCCTGGTTCATCAAATACTTAGTTGCCTTGGATTCATTACAGCTTATAGAATAGAAATAGGATTTCTCTGAAGACATTGGCCTAATCGATTGCTGGAAAGATCCGGAGTTGTAAACATCATGCAGATGGTCATTGAAAAAGCAAAACTTTTTTGTCTGTTCCTGTAAGGGAGACTGAGCAAGAAACCACGAACACCCAGAACTGGGAGGGATATTGGAAGCGGGTCAGAAAGGGGAGGAGTTAGGGAAGCGATTGTGAGGACATTGAATAATGTGGACACTCCTCTGCCGGCTTTCTTCTACAACACACATGTATTTCTTGGGTACTGCAAAGTGATTTCTAAAACATTAGGACCATCAAATGAGAAAGATGGTGGTAAGCAGGACGTTTCTGGACCATGAATAGACAGATGGACATGACTTTTTCCATCAAATCTGTGGAGACTAGTTTAAAGTGTTCTTTCAACAACAGAAAGGAGTAATACTTGGCACAATGTTATTAATATGTAACTCATTCTGTAGTGTGAATAAAGAAACTTGAAAAGTTTAGATACAGATTACTGCTCTGAAGCACTCTTGAGTGTGGGCTCTGGGGAGCCTAACTGCCTGGGTTCAAATCCCAGTTCCACCACCTTATTTGCTGTGTAACCTCAGCGAGTTATGTGAACTCTCCACACCTGAGTTGCTCCATTTGTAAAATGGGCAAAAGAGTAGTATCAACCTAAATGGTTGTAAGGAGTAAATGAATTACTAATACGTGTGAAGTGCCAAGAACAGTGACCTACATGTAGTATACATGAAATGATAATGTAAATATACAGAAGTCACAAACTGGCCTGAGCCACAGCAGGTTTCAGGCATACGCATTTTGTTTGCAAGCATGGCATCTGAAAAAGAATGAGCAACTGAATGCCTTTGGACAGGGTGTGTACTCTCCATTTGGCCACAGGTCCCAGCATGACTCTCACACCCAGCCTGATTCACGGAGTCCTGTAACTTTCCTAAACTATTAGCTCTCAAGTTTGCACCGGTGGTTTAGGAGAATTTGTGGATAGTGGAGTAATAACAAGTGATTGCTAAGTTGAGGCTGGTTTCACAAAGCCTAGCTGTGCTTTCTCCAAAGCCTACTGTATTTTGATTATTACTTACACGTCTGTCCCTCACTCAGGCAAAATTCTTTGAGTGCCTGACAATGTTTTATTCATCGTCGTATCCCCAGAATCGACTCCAGATCCCCAGGCTGCTCCATAAATCTTTGTGGTCTGAATAAACATGCTGTGGGATAAAGAGGGGTAGTGAGCTCTGGGGAAACGTGTTAATGGGTAACGGCTGATATGTGGAGGACGAACTGGTAGTATGTGCCAAAGATGTGGCTAGGCAGTGCATATGGCCTTCAGAAACTAGGTTGTCAGGTACAGTTGGAAAGCAGAGTGTGAGGAAGGAAAAGAGGCTGGAAAGATACATCATACAGATTAAGGCATTTGGATTTTAAGAATGGCATGAGATTGAGGATAAATACTTCACAAATGGTCCGTAATGCATAATTTTGTGTATATGCTCATGGATATTATTTGATTATTTCTAGTGTATAATTGTACCTTTGAATTAGCAATACCTTTGAATCAGATATGAGATAGAATGTCTTTATCCTTCTTTGATAAGTTTCTGGATTGACTGTTTATTACCCTATACAAATACTGTTTTCCTTTTGAGTCAGCCTTTTCTCATTGAACAGTCCTGCCTTGGTGTATTGTGTGTTTTCCCTTCTATTTCTAATCACAATTCATCTTCCCAGCTGCTTAGTTATATAATAGTATCTTGTATGTTTATACACAGGCCTACAGATTGAATTTCTCAGAGAGCAAATTCAAGAGCTTTTCGGAACCACAATATGTGTTTTATGGGTGTGACAAAGTTCTTTAGGAACTCAAAATCAATGATTTGAGGAGATATTTTACAGTATATCTCATATTCATTTCTTACTGCTTTCATTGGTTTTGTTTATTCATTTCTTATTGCTTTCTTATGGGTTATCCTATGTTAGTTAATCTAAGTTGACTAATAAAGTGGAGAAAATTCTTGTTTAAATTAATTAACATAAGGACACCTCTTCACCCTTCTCTTAGAAGCTGTTGCATGTGGTGGTTAGATCTTTTTGAATCTTGGATTGGGGGAATGTACAATACATTCTTAACTGAGAGATCATTTTTAGAAGTTCATATATTTTTCTTTTTACACAAGTAACATATTTGTTCACTGTAGAAATCTTGGGCAAAAAAATGAATACAGAAGTGTAAAAGAAAAATATTTTTTAAGTCAACAATCAGATAAGAGATAACCATCATTAATGTTTAGGTCTGTGTCCTTCCAGTTTTTTCCTTGGCATATGTAAAATGTACAGAATTGATATATTTCTATAAATTATTATTTAGTCTGCATTGTAGCTTAGTAATATGTGAAAAAGATATTAGATAAATATTCTTAATGTAACTTTTATTCTATAGAGTATTATTTTAATTTAGTAGGAGTATGTTATCTCTTATTTTGCTATTTTTTTCCCTTAAAAATTTTTTTTTATTTTGGTATCATTAATGTACAATTACTTGAACATTATGGTTACTAGACTCCCCCTATTATCAGGTCCCCCCCAAATACCCCATTATAGTCACTGTCCATCAGCGTAGTAAGATGCTGTAGAATCATTACTTGTCTTCTCTGTATATACTGCCTTTCCCGTGTCCTGGCCCCCTGCTACATTATGTGTGCTAATTGTGATACCCCTTTTTTCCCCTCCCCATCCATCCTCCCCAGTCCCTTTCCCCTTGGTAACTGTTAGTCCATTCTTGGGTTCTGTGAGTCTGCTGCTGTTTTGTTCCTTCAGTTTTTTCTTTGTTCTTATACTCCATAGATGAGTGAAATAATTTGATACTTGTCTTTCTCTGCCTGGCTTATTTCTCTGAGCATAATACCCTCTAGCTCCATCC